TGCGCCACTGGAACCTTAGGTGGGGCTCCCTATGGGGCCACGAAACGTGTAAGGGGTGTGCCAACATGGAGCGGCGGCGCCAGGCGGGCTGCGCCACTAGGACCCTACATGGAGCCACGAAACGTGTGAGTGGTGTGCCAAAATAAGGCGGCGGCGCCATGCGGGCTGAGCCATTGGGACCTTAGGTGGAACCCCCTTATGTGGCCACGAAGCGTGTGAGGGGTGCGCCGAAACAGAGACATGCGGAGAGCAATAGCAAGGAGGGGGAGGAGGGAGGAGGAGGAGGAGGAGGAAGAGGAGGAGGAGCAGGAGGAGGAGGAGGAGGAGGAGGAGGAGGAGGAAGGAGGATGAGAACGCGGGACACCGTCTCTTCAAAACGATGACCCAACACCACAGGATGGTTGGGAAACGAAATGCAACATTGGGTGTGTTGGACGCGTGCGGGCTGTCCCAGTGGGGGCTTCGGTGGGGCTTCGGTAGCTCCCAATGGGACCACGACACGCTATGGTGTGAAAATGCCAAATTGAGCTTTCGGGACGCATGCGGACGTCCCACTGGGGCCGTCGGTGGGGCTCCCTATGGGGCCACGAAGCGCTGTACTGGGTGTGCGGGGCGCATGCGGACGGTAGCACTGGGACCTTCGGTGGGGCTCCCTGTGGGCCACGAAGCGCTGTGCTGGGTGTGCGGGACGCATGCGGACGGCAGCGCTGGGACCTTCGGTGGGGCTCCCTATGGTGCCACGAAACGCTGCACTGAGTGGGCGAAGCGCAGGGAGGAAGGGGAGGGAGCCACGAAACGCTGTACTGGGTGTGCGGGACGCACGCGGACGGTAGCACTGGGACCTTTGGTGGGATCCCCCATGGGGCCACGAAGCGCTGTACTGGGTGGGTGAAACGCAGGGAGGAGTGAGGAGGGGGGCACGAAACGTTGTAATGGGTGTGCGGGACGCATGCGCACGGTAGTACTGGGACCTTCGGTGGGGCCCCCATTGGGCCCTGAAGCGCTGTGCTGCGTGGGTGAAACGCAGGGAGGAGGGAGGAGGGGGAGGAAGGGGGAGTGAGGAGGGGAGGAAAAGGACAGGAGAGGAACGCGGGGCACCGCCTTTCAAAACGAGGACCCAACAACAGGTTGGTTGGGAAAAATCCCAGAATCGACTCTTGACCCCCGAGCTGGGGCAATGCCCTGAGGAGGACAGAGGAAGGAGGAAGGGGGATCAAGGAGGGAATGGGGAGAAGTAGGAGGAGCAGGTGGTGAGTCAGGTTGCTGCTCTCAGTCACTGCTCTCTGCGACATGCCTGTGCTTGCCCTGTTCCACCCATGCTACTGGTAGGCCGCGTTCTTCGAACTCAGTGGCCCTTCGGCCGTGAGTGAGCGAGTGGGTGTTGAGGTGGGGGCCTGTCGAGAGGTCTATGGAGTTCCATGAATATTTGTCCATCGGATCGTGGGAGCGTCTTGGGAGGCAGGGGGCGGGGGACAAGCAGGGGACCGAAGGGTGGTTTGGCACACCACCGCACCAACGGGGATGATAGCCAACGCCAGCTCTGCTTGTTGCTTAGCACTGGCAGCGACCGCTACTAGAGCAGACGACGCCCACCCGCGCCCGGATAACCTTCGCGTCAGCCCTGCGTGGACTGCGACGCGACTCCACATCATTGCTGCCACCCTTCTTCATCCCGACCCCCTAACACTTCCCTCGGCTTGCCCCGGTTAGGCAGCCACGTGTGCACCTATCCCCAGCGCCCATCGAGCAGGACCGCAAGGGGTCCAGCGGGGGAGGGTGACCCCCCCCGCTGGAGACCTCCGCTGGTCCGAACGGATGGGCTGCGTAGGGGCAGGGTCACGTGGCTCCCGGACCAGCCCCACAAGACATGACCTGCATCTTGACCTCGTCGAGGTGGGCGGCCAGCTCGGCCTTCTCGTCCTCCTCCATGCCGAGCAGCACCGCGGTGCCCACCACCTCGGCGGCGAGCGTCTGGATGAGCTCCAGCAGCTGCTCCTTCTCCCTCCCGATGTCCACGACCTTCTGGGTGAGGCTCTGGATCTCGCCGCGGATGACGGGCCGCGTCTGGGTGTCCCTGTCGATGTCGCCTTGCGCTCCCTCGAAGCGCCCCTCCAGGGCCCCCAGACGAGACTCCGCGGCGCGCGCCTGTCGCCGCGGTGGACAAGGGAAGTGAAAGAGAAGGTCTGGGACCAGCTTGAACTCCGGGGCCTTCCCCAAATGGGCTCGACTTGAACGAGGACGATGTCGTGATAGGATTTGCTCCGAGGACTTCCAGCGTGTCTCGCGCGCCCTTTGTTCTGCAGCCCGTGCCCGTGTGGGACATTCGGAAATCTTGGAAACCCTGGAAACCTTGGAACGCATCACTATCATGACCTCTTGCTCCTCTGATCCACGCCTCATCCAGAATAGTGTTCGACTGTCCCGAAGCCCAAGAGAATCTCGGGAGCCCGAAAGCGGCTAAAGAACGCTCCAGGACGTCTTGCCGCCAGGACCCTTTCCTTCATGGCGAGCCTTGGCCACCGCGGCGTTCCGCCGGCTCCTCTGTTCGCAGGTGCTTCCGTCGATCTCGGCCTGCATGCGCAGCTCCTCGGCCGAGAGCCTGCCCCTCACCTCCGCGTAGGACCGCCGGAGCTCCGAGATCTGCGCGCGGAGCTGCGACATCTCCCTCGTCAGGGCCTCGTTGTCCGACCGCTCCTCGGATATCTTCTCGAGGACCAGCTGCTGCATGTCGCCCATGAGGGTCGGGTCGGGCGAAAGGGGGGGATAGCAAAGGGGGGGTTGAGAATCAGCTCGCGTAGCTGATTTTCCCGGCGCCTCCCGGCGCCGGAGGCGGCTATGTATCGAGGACTGGGCCCCTCGGTGAGGCCGAAACCAGCTGCATGCAGCAAATTTCGTACCCCCCCCTTTCCCACTCCCCTCCTTTCGCCCGACCCGAGAGGGTCTCGACCAACTCGTCGGAGGTGCCGGGGGCCGTCAGCTTCTTCTCCACCTCCCTGATCTCGTCGTCGATCGACCTGGGCGGCGCGCGCGAAAGGGTGGGGCGAGGGGGCTGGCCTTCGAAGTAGGCCGGGTGCTTCCTGGAATCATTTGTTTGTGAGGGATCCGTATTTATATTTTTTTTTTTTCTCTCTCTCTCTCTCTCTCTGTATATATGTATGTATATGTATGTGTATATAAATATGTTTATATACATATATATATATATATATGTATATATATATATATATATATATATATATATGTATGCATGTATATGTATGTGTAATTACCTAGCTGTCTATGTAATGTTTATGTACATGCTCTTGTTCCCCAATCAGAGCTTGCCTCTGTAGGGGTCCTAGCGGATTAAAGGGTTAGGTGAGAGGTGCGGCCGATTTCGGTGGCCAGGCCCGGGTGCCCAGGTGCCCGGGTGCCCGGCGGTGCCCGGGTGTCCGGGTGGCCGGTGAGGTGCGTGGCCGATTTCGGTGGCCGGGCCTGGGTGCCCGGGTGCCCGGGGGTGCCCGGGTGCCCAGGGGTGCCCAATAGCCCAGTAGCCCTATAGCCCTACAGCCGTATAACACTATGGCCCTATAGCCCTAGAGCCCTATAGCCCTAGAGCCCTATAGCCCTATAGCCCTATAGCTCTATAGCCCTATAGCCCTATAGCCCTAAGGTTCTATAGCCCCTATAGCCCAATAGCCCTACATTACTATACGCCTATAGCCATATAGCCCATATAGCCCCATTGCCCCAACCAAAATCTGATAGGGTTTTTCTCCGGTATCATATAGGTCTGTATGTGTATATATATATATATGTATATATATATATATATGCATACGTAGCACCCGGGCGACGCGGGCGTCGAGCCGGCGGACCTCGTGGCCCCAAACTTCCCTGTCGATGACGCCCTCCTCCTCCTCCTCCTTCTCCTCCTGCTCCTCCTCCTCCTCCTCTTCCTCGTCCGCGTCCTCGTCCTCATCGTCGTCGTCGTCGTCGTCCGCCTCCTCCTCCTCCACCTCCTCCTCCTCTTCCTCCTTTTCCTCCTCCTCCTCCTCCTAACCAATGCGACCAAGCCCGCCGCAGGCGCAAATTTGCGTGCTCTGACAAATTCAGCGCGGGGGGAATCGCTGGTGGGCCACCCGGAACGAATGCAAAAACAGCCCGCCGCAGGCGCCGAATTGTTGGCTTGTTCAATGAACGTAGTTTTGGTCGCGGGTGGGTCGCGGGCTCTCCACCTCCACCTGGAAGAAATTCAAAAACAGCCCGCCGCAGGCGCCGAACATTTTGAGTTGAACACTGAACGCGGTTTGGGTCGCAGGGTCTCCACCTGGAACGAATGCAAAAGAAACCCGCCGCAGGCGCCGAAGTTTTGGCTTGTTCAGTGAACGTAGTTTGGTTCGCGGGTGGGACGTGGGCTCTCCACCTCCACCTGGGAGGAATCACAAACAACCCGCCGCGGGTGCCGAAAATTTTGATTTGTACACTGAACGCGGTGTGGGTCGCGGGTGGGTCGCAGGTTCTCCACCTGGAACGACTGCAAAAGAAACCCGCCGCAGGCGCCGAACATTTTGGGTGGGTCGCGGGGTGGGTCGCGGGTGGGTCGCGGGTGGGTCGCGGGTGGGCGGGCGGTTTGGGTCGCGGGTGGGTCACAGGTTTCCCCACCTGGAACGACTGCAAAGAAACCCGCCGCAGGCCCGAACATTTTGGGTGGGTCGCGGGGTGGGTCGCGGGTGGGTCGCGGGTAGGTCGCGGTGGGTTGCGGGTGGGCCGCGGGCGCGGTTTGGGCCGCGGGTGGGTCGCAGGTTCTCCACCTGGAACGAGTGCAAAAGAAACCCGCCGCAGGCGCCGAACATTTTGGGTGGGTCGCGGGGTGGGTCGCGGGGTGGGTCGCGGGTGGGTCGCGGTGGGTCGCGGGTGGGTCGCGGGTGGGTCGCGGGTGGGTCGCGGGTGGGTCGCGGGTGGGTCGCGGATGGGTCGCCGGTGGGTCGCGGGTGGGTCGCAGGGGGGGTCTCGGGGTGGGTCGCTGGCGGGTCGCGGGGTGGGTCGCGCGTGGGTCGCGGGTGGGTCGCGGGTGGGTCGCGGGTGGGTCGCGGGTGGGTCGCGGGTGGGTCGCGGGTGGGTCGCGGGAGGGTCGCGGGTGGGTCGCGGGTGGGTCGCGGGGCGGGTCGCGGGTGGGACGACGACAAAAAAATAACCAGAATCCGCATCGCGGAATTCTACTTCAGCCACACACCCAGGGACAGTGAATGACCGTTCGGTTCAGCCCCCCTCACTCTGATGTATATTCCTATTTCTATACATTGATAAGGCCATGGACCCCGGACGGACCCCGGACGGAGCCCCCCCACCCCCCCAACGAGTTTCGGCCTTCCCCGAGATTTTCGGGCGGTCCCAGAGGCGCCCCAGACGACCCGAGATACTCCCAAGAGGGGTGCACGAGCGCTACACGACAGCCCGAGAGCGCTCCAAGAGACCCCAAGACCGCCCACGACCGTCCAAGGGGGCCCCGAGGCGCCCCAAGAGGCCTCCAAGAGGCTTCCCAAGAGGGCCCCAAGAGGGACATGTCGTTGATTTTTGCATAGTTGTCAAAGGTTTTTCTGGTTCTCTCTTTTTCGGGCCAACATTTGCCCGAACCGGCCCAAGAGGCTCCACAGATCGCCCCAAGATAGCCCAAGAGGCCCCCCAAAGAGCCCGAAAACGATCCACGAGAGTCCCAAGACAGCCCTAGAGGGCTCCAAGACGGGCCCAAGAGGCTTCCCAAGAGCGCCCAAAGAGGCACCCAAGAGGGCCCCAAGACGCCGCCAGGAGAGCCCCACGACGGCCAAAGGCCTCCAAGACGCCCCAAGACGGCCCAAAAGGGCCCCGAGACGACCCAAGATAACCCCAACTGAGCCCTAAAAGGGATCCAACAGGGCTCCACAAATTCTCCCAAGAGGCCACCAAACGCTACATAACACCAGGGCTCCCAACACTGAGCTTCAATGGCACCCCCAGAAGCCTTCCAATATTTTTGTCCTTCATCCTTCTTCTCCCCGTCTCCCTCCTTCTCTTTCCCGTTACCCTCCTGTTCCTCCTCCTTCTCTGGGTCGTCTGGAGGGCATCTTGGGCGTCGTGGACCGGTCTTCGAGCGTCTGTGGCCCGTCTTGGACCGTGTTGGGGGCCTGTTGGCGCCCCCTTGGGGCGATCCTGGGCTCCCTAGGGGGGTGTCTCGGGCAGCTCTCGGGCAGCTCTCGGATAGCTTTCGGGCCGCGCCCAGGGGCTGCCCCGCGCGCGCGGATCAGAAATATTGTAAAGCAGCCGCTGGAGATCTTAGCACGCCTCTGGCCCGTTGGGCTGGCGACTTCTTCGCACGATGATGCGGTTGAATTTTCCATATAAAAAGCGGGTTTGCTTTCTGGACATGCTTATCGCCGTGTATACTCACCTTCTCTCTCTCTCTTGCATGAGGTGTTGACTGAGCCTTCAAAACGACACATGCATTGGCGTTCATCACGTGCCCAAATTCACGCATACTGATTCCGTTCTCACAAACCGATCATTTGCGCTTTCCACTACATTCCTTCATTTGCATTCAGAGGCACAGCCAACGATCATATATATATATATATACATACATACATACAAACATACACACACATATATCCAACTGCCCGCGGCAAATCCCGCCGCCGTGCCAGCCCCGCATTCTCGGCGGTAGCTGTTCGAACCGGTGATGAGGAGGATGATAACGATGTTAACGCTGACGATGACGACGATTGAATGACGACGATGATTGCGATGACGATGGCGAAGATTGGACGAGGATGGATAGTGTGGCGAACGAGAACCATTTTCATTATCATGGTGATCATAACCATGTTCATTATGGCGATGGTGGTGGTAATGGTGACGATGATGATACAACGACGACGGCGACGCTGCTGCTAATGAGATTAATGTGTACGGGATGTGGGTGATTATGCTGAAGATGACGATGCTGATGAGCACGATGACGACGATGTTGATGAAGATGGTGCTGTTGATGACGATCGTGGTGACGATAATGACGATGGTGGTGGTGGTGGTGATAAAGATGCTGATGCTGGCGTTGATGATGATGAGGCTGATGAGAATGAGGCGGAGGAGGATGAGGATGATTATGCGGAAGAGAAAGAGGACGATGATGATGATGAGGACGAGAACGAGGAAGAGGCCGCGAACGGCGGTGACCATGATGACGAGGAGGAGGGAGCGGAGGAACCCTCATAGACCTCATTTGGGCCGTCTTCGGGGTGTCCCAGGTTCATGTGGGGCAATCCTGCGGGTCGCTTGGGGGCCTATTGGGCCTTCTTCGGGCTCTCCGGCGGCCGTCTTGGGGCTCTCTTGGGACCCTCGTGGCCGTGTGGGGGGGTCGGTCGGGGCCGTCGTGGGGTGGTCTTGGGCCGTCCAGCGGCCCTTTCAACCCATGTGGGGTCGACCCGCGACAATCCATGATTCATGCTTCCCGGGGTCCTCTTCAGACGCTTCTTGGAGGCGTTTTGGAGGCGTTTGCGGCTGTTTGCCGGCCATCTTGGGCGTTTGGGACCGATCGGACGGCGACTGGACCGACGGATCGGCGACTCGGAGCCCTCTTGGACCGTCCTGGAGGCCCGTGGGGCCACCTAGGAGCGCCTTAAGGCGCTGGAGAGCCGCGCCGAAGAAACCCATCTCTGAGTTGGGTGTCCCAGGGCCACTTCGGGGCACTTCTCGGCCCAGGACCCCCAGGGGCCGCTCCGCGCGCGCGAACTAGAATATTGCTTACCATACCAGGTACTGGAGTTCTTCGCAAGCCTCTAGCCCGTTGGACCGGCGAATTCCGACTTCGCTTTCCGAGGCCCGTTCGGGGCCTCAGTGGCATCGACCCGGCAACGCGATTGCGGCGGCACTCGCGATGGCAGCGGTCTCATTCTCCCTTTCGTACGTCGTCGCTTCGTCGTCGTCGTCGTCGTCGTTGTTGTCGTCGCTTTCGTCGTCGTCGTCGTCGTCAGCGTCGCAGCCGGCGTCGTAGCCGTCGTCGTTTTCATCGTCGTCGTCGTCGTCGTCATCATATACGTCGTCGTCGCCGTCCTCGTCGCCCCTGTCTCGACCGGCCCGCCGGCTCGGCCGGCCCGCCGGTTCAGCTCGGCTCGGCTCGGGTTGGCGGCGATAGAGCGGGAAATGAAGGATGAGGGAAGGAAAGGATAGGAAATGGAAGACGTTGTCAGATCAGCAACCACGACAACGGCAACAAGGCGTTATCGCTTACTTTAGTTATGTACATATATGTCGTCCCGCCTGCTTGCTCAAATTGAAGGACCATGGTAGTCTGGCCACTTTCGCCTGAGACACTCGCACCTTTGAGTTGCGAGATGCCCGGGGCAGCTGGTCAGGCCACTACCGCCTGAGATACGCATGTGTGTGCGCACGCATAGTTACACATACCATTGGCATATACATGTACAAGCCCATACATGCATATATTGAAAATTACATATGTAATATGTTTCCATGTGCGCATGTGTTCGCGCATGCGCGCGCACGCACTTCGTTAACGTGCGAAACTCTGAAGGACCAATGTGCATGGCGCGCAGCGCCAATGCAGTCTTGTACACACACATATATATAACTATATATGTATGTATGTATATATATACACCTTTAATATATATATATATATATATATATATATATATATATCACTCGTGCTGCCGCGCAACACAGCGTCCAGAGATATCTACTGTGCAGAAGACTTGAGAGTTGAATGTTAAAGCGCCGTCGCAGCACGGGAAGCTCTCCAGGGGCGCCTCTGGCTGCGCCCACTTCAGAGGTGGCATCTTCGATTGAATGTAAAACGTGCAAGATCAAATCACTGTAGAACGTATGCCGATTCTCCGCTGCATAGGCCCAGGCGAGCGAGTAGGTATTCAAGTGTGTATATGCGGTATACACATATATATATATGCTGGGCTTGCAACCGTATATGCATATATATATATATATACACATATCTATACATATGTTAACAGACCAACTGCGGAACGAATGCCGAGAGGCAATCGGGCATCAGGAGATTTCATGAATAATCGCGCCGGGTTTTCGCCCGAGTTTGCAGCGTCATCTATATGAACCGCGGAACGGATGCCGAGAGGAATCATATATCTGGTTGCGAGTGGACCTGTTGCTAGCACATCAGTGAAAACGAGACGCGTCTCAGCGCCCTCCAGTCGTGATTAATTGGCGCACTGCTTCTGGATCGTGCTCCTCGGGCGGGAGCGGTGGGAAAGTTTGAATGTCGGTCGGGGCCGAGGCGGCAGCGGCAGGCAGAACGGGCCGAAGCGATCGAGATCATTCATAGGTCCCGAACCCTGGAACTGCCAGACCAACTGCCGAACGAATGCCGAGAGGCAGTCGGGCATCAGAAGATAGCATTAGCAAACGTACAGGAGTTTCGCCCGAGTTTGCAACGTCATCTATATGAACCGCAGAGCGGATGTCGAGAGGCACTCATCTATATGAAATACTGATATATTCTCCAAAAGTTATGTGGTTGCTCGTGGGCCTGCTTCCAGCACGTCAAAATGAAATGCAACGCGCGTTTCAGCCCCCCGGCCCGCGCTATCCTAACCGAGGGCGAGACTCAAGAATCTGTCGAGCACGAAGCGATCGGTACCTTGTCTCAACCCATCGGCGACCCAACGGGAGGCACAGTTGCCTAGTCTCAAAAACGGGAGGATCGGCACGTCGCACGCGCTTGGTGACGGCATCCACGGCCGTCATCGAATCCAATACCACAGTGCACAACACTCAAAATTAGATTGGAGTGGGGAGAGCCACGTAGGAGCGAGGCAGGGTGGACAAATGTCGAGTGGGCAAACTCCTGGTCGGCGAAACTGTCGCGAAACCGTTGCGCGGAAAGGTCGCAGCCGTGCTCGGCGCTCGCCAGGGTGACGGGGCAGCCGGCCTTTACGGCGTAGAAGGCGAGACGGCGCAAGTCGGCGGACGCCTCAATACTGCCGAACTCGGGCAGCACCACAACCAAGCCTCGCCAGACACGAGAGCTGAGCCAACCCACCACGCGGCGTCGCACCACTGCCAGGTCGCAAGAGCTCCCGCTAGTCCAGCTGGAGGCAACGCTGTCCAGGCCCAGCAGCTGACGACGCACCTCGTCAGTGCCAAATCCCACTTCCAACAGCAACTGATGGATGCAGACAATACTAAACTTGCCAGCTCGGGCTAGCAAGCCACGGGCTGCCTGCCCACGCCCCCCCCCGCAGAAACGTCGGCGTCTCCAGACGAGCACGCCCGCTAAAGCAGTTGTTCAAAATGGCCGCGAGGTCCGCCCATTTGCTGACGGACGGCGCCACCTTGTCCAGCTCGGCCAAGTACCTCGCGCGCTTGGCGTAGCGTAGCGCGCCGTGCTGGCTGGCCCCGAGTGCGCTCCTGAAGCGCAGAGAGTGCGTGGCATCTGGCCGATAGCCGCCGCGCGGCTCGCTGCGCCATGCCGTACTTGGTGGGGCACGGCCTCGGGGCAACCGGGGAGACCGGCCAGGCGCCGCCGAAACCTCGAGGTGAACTGGGCGCCGCTGCAGGGCCGCAATTTCTCGCGCCAGGCTCGACGTGCCCGATGCTGACGCAGCTGTCCCGGTTACGCCTCGCCAGATCGGATCTAGCAGCATCGCGCCCGCGTCGTGGCCCTGCGTCTTGCTGCGCCTGCCCGCCCCCTCGGGGTGGAACGACAAAGCCCGGCGGGGCAAGGGCCCGCGCCCTGGCCCTGTCAGCGAGGCGCCCGTCACCTCCAGCAGGTCGACGGGCGGCCGCAGCATCGCATCCCAAGCCGCCAGCAGCGCCACGGCAACCTCCAGGTCGCCCTCGAGGATGCTGAGCCCCACGGCGCCCAGAAAGCACGGCTTCGCCGGCGGGCTCCGCGACTGCATCTTGGAACGGGCGCGAAAGCCTGCCAAGGCCGCGCGGCTCTCGCCCAGCCCCCCCAGACTGCCTCGCACCAGGCCGGGGCGGCGGTGCTGCGGCGCCGACGGGAACGTGGAACCCGCGTCGGCCTGGTACCCCGCCCAGAACAATCCATCCATGTACTCGGCCGCGCTCGCGTCGAGCGTCGACGCGCTGGCGCGCAGGAAGTTCTGGGCCCCTGGCCGCTCGACCCACTCCGCGAGCTCCCGATCGAACGCGAGGCTTTCGGCCTTGCCGACCTTGAGCCGCCGCAAGAAGGTCAGACCATGCCTTTCGGCCGCAGCACCGGCCTGATGACTCTGGGACTCTGGGCTCGATCCGCCGCTCGAGCACGCCCTTGCTCCTCGGCCTTGCGCCTGCGAGCCCGCGCAGCTGCTGGATGAACTGCTCGAGCCGCCGTCGGCTTCGCCGGCGCCGCCGCGGACGCAGGCAGGCCGCTCGCCGGCCAGCGCGGCGCCGTAGCTGGCGGGGCGGTCGCCCTCGGCGAGGTCGAGCCCGAGGCCGAGCAGCAGCGCCTGGCCGCGCTCGGCATGGGCCCGCCGCTGCTCGCGGACGCTGGCCGCAAGAGCCTGGGCCCGCAACGCCTCTCGCCAGGAGGCGCCAGCGTGGCGCGGGCCAGTGGGGCAGTCTGCAGCGTGCGCCTCCGAGACACGCGAAGGCTTGTCTGAAAACAAAATCCACTCGGATGGCAACCGACGAACGACGACATCAAGGTTGAATATGATGCTGATGGTAGTGAGCTCTCTAATTGTCTCATTGAGTAAAAATGTAGATGGGCGCCCCTTCCCGAGAGCCAACGCCAAATTCGCGCCATCTACCAGAGCTAACGCAAGAGCGACCCGATCTCGGGACCCGCGGACAAGATGACGAACGGCGAGGATGGACGCACGACCGTCGAGGCGCACGATGCTCTCGCAACTGCGCGTCGGCCGAATGAGAGAGTCTACCAATCTGGCTGCGGCAGCACTTCAGCGGGTCGAGCTCGTCAAAGTCAAGCTCGAGAGGAGACGCGTCCGCGGTCGAGGGCTCTGCGCCGAGGCCGCCCGCGGCCCCCGTGGACTGGCGGAAGAACGGCGCCGCCGAGTCGCTGTCCAAGACGCGGGGCCACGCGGCGATGGCGGGCCCCACCTCGCAGCGCCGCTTCTCGCGGCGCCGAGCAGCGCCCCGCGCGCGATCGAAGTCCCAGGTCTTGCAAGTGACCCCGACCCCCCCGAACAAGCCCCCGTCGTCGCCGTTGCCCGCGGAGGCGTCGGATGCGAACGCTTGCTCGCTGATCGGCCTGCGGGCGCCAGCGTGGGCGCGAGCCGCCAGAGCGGCGCTAGCGCGTGGCCCCGCGCGAGCCTCGTTCCAGATGCGCAAACAGAACTCCCAGCCTTGCAAGCGAACTTGCAGCAGCTGCTAAAGACATATAGAAGGACGCGCCGAAGTAGCGCAGCCCAATTGAAGTGACCAAGTACTCTGAACATATCCTCGCCAAAACAGTGGCCCACTCGAGCAAGTTCGAGACGCCCCGGTCGAGGCCGCCAAAGCCTCCGAGGGCTAAGCGACATCCC